AAAAAGTAATAAGACCAAGAACTATTAAGATAAAATCAAGAAAACTCAGATGAGTGTGTATAAATAAACATGTACATGTATGTGTAGTGTGACCTACGTGTAAGTAGAAGTAGCAAGACATACCTGTAATCTTGCATATTTATGAGACAGACAAAAGACACCAGCAATCCTACCTCATGTAAAACAATTACAGGCTTTCGTTTTACACTCACTAGGCAGGACGGTAGTACCTCCCTGGGTGGTTGCTGTCTACCAACCTACTACCTATATATATATATATATATATATATATATATATAATATATATATATATATATATATAAAATATATAATTAATATATATATAATATATAATATATATATATATATATATATATATATATACACACACACACACCCCACACACACACACACACACACACACACACACCCCACACACACACACAACACACCACACACACACCCCACACACACACACCACACACACAACCACACACACACCCACACACACACACACACACACCAACACACCACAAAAACCCCCAAACAACACACCACACACACACACATCTTTGATCAAAGTAGAATGACATGGAAAGTATATAAATCTATAGGGAAGGAAGGGGGGGTAGGGGTCGTCCTCGAAAGGGTTGGAAAGAGGGGGTAAAGGAGGTTTTGTGGCAAGGGGCTTGGACTTCCAGCAAGCGTGTGTGAGCGTGTTAGATAGGAGTGAATGGAGACAAATGATACTTGGGACCTGACGATCTGTTGGAGTGTGAGCGGGGTAATATTTAGTGAAGGGATTCAGGGAAACTGGTTATTTTCATATAGTCGACTTGATCCTGGAAATGGGAAGTACAATGCCTGCACTTTAAAGGAGGGGTTTGGGATATTGGCAGTTTGGAGGGATATGTTGTGTATCTTTATATGTATATGCTTCTAAACTTGTATTCTGAGCACCTCTGCAAAAACAGTGATAATGTGTGAGTGTGGTGAAAGTGTTGAATGATGATGAAAGTATTTTCTTTTTGGGGATTTTCTTTCTTTTTTGGGTCACCCTGCCTCGGTGGGAGACGGCCGACTTGTTGAAAAAAAAAAATATATATATATATATACACACCCCTCTGGGCTTTCTTCTATTTTCTTACTAGTTCTTGTTCTTGTTTATTTCCTCTTATCTCCATGGGGAAGTGGAACAGAATTCTTACTCCGTAAGCCATGCGTATTGTAAGAGGCGACTAAAATGCTGGGAGCAAGGGGCTAGTAACCCCTTCTCCTGTATAAATTACTAAATTTAAAGAGAGAAACTTTCGTTTTTCTTTTTGGGCCACCCTGCCTCGGTGGGATACGGCTGGTTTGTTGAGAGAAGAAAAAAAAAATCCCGGATTTTGTATAGGTCATTTCTCTTGGGCGTATTCTTGTCCTAGAAGTGCAACATTCGTAGCAACAGAGTGAATCTGTTGCAGGGAAGGAGGTCACTGAAGACTGGGGTGCTGATGAAGTAGTCTGTGGACCAGTAGTGTGCTATATTGTTCTTTTATGTATATGGCATAAGCATGACAGTGCCAAAGAACAAATACATTTCAGCCACAGTTGTATCCTTCCACCTGCGCAGCCGTGACGATTCTGCAACGTCTGTGTGGTCCATCGTATACCGGTAGTACATGTTGGTCTGGGTAACAATAAGGTTCATTATAGGCTCATCAAAGAATACCTGGAAATAGTCTAACTCTGTAGACTCATTTGTGATGGGACATTCAGGCCTGATGCCACTTCCACTGACATCAAAATTGAAAGGATATGGCATGAATGGTGTACTTTCTGTCCAGTTCTATTCGTGGTCACATGGTGCAGGGTGAACCTGTAGCATGGGGTGTGGGGGAGCAGGAGGGGGATGGGAGTGGAGGCAGCACATGGTTGAAAGGGTGCTGGGCAGTCCTTTGTCTGCCCACCCACCACGCCCTGAGGCCCAGGCACCAATGCCACCAACCTCCTCTTCCTCCATCCCAGCATATTCCTTTCATGTTCACTATCACTATCAGTGGCTGGGGTTTTGGATCGTGACCTGTCATGACCCTTTTCACTGACTGCATATGGTACACTGCCTGAACGTAGGCGACAATGCCTAAAAGTACGTTTCACTGGGAATAATGCACATCGCTTACACTCGACGAATCCTCTATGGGCATAAAATCAATTTCATCCTCGTCACTTATATCACTTTCACTATCGTCAACACCAAAACACATGGAAAATTATAATTTCCTCTTGCAGAGGTGCCTTTGAGTAGTAACACTAGCAATGCCAGAGGAGCTGGGCTGAAGGTCTGCTGTGGCCACACTGGCCACATTGGCCACCTCAGAGGTGATGAGCTGAGGGTCATCTGGGTTATCATCAACAGTTTCACTAATTCCTTGATCACTAGCGGCTATATCAGTGTCAAAATCGCTAAATTCATGTTCTCTATCACTTTCTGAGAATAGTAGTGTTAATACGGCGAGGCTTGAGTGAATCACGGGGGTTTGCCATGATGCTGACCCAAAATGGAGCTGAAACTACTAGTACTCTCATGCAGTACCCCGGCATCCCCAATTTTTTTCATACTGCACACACCTAGAGTGCAGACCCATTTTCTCATGTCTAGGCAATTCAGGCCTACTGTGCCAATTTTGAAGAAATGAAAAATAAAACGTAGATCTACATTCGGAGTGCTAGAAGTGCAAACGAAGATCTACGTTTGGACAGTTTAAGGGTTAAAGTTGGCAAAATGTTGTGACAACTGTGATGGCAGATACTGACCTTGCTGATTTCCGAGAAAACATTAATGCAACAGAAAATTTTGTGAAAGTTACTGATTTTATGCAGTTGGATCGTACAATGTTGCATATGTTTCATCACTGTATATTTGAATAAAATATTTCAATAGATGTTACTGTCTGTTTCTACAGTATAACATTTACCTGTATATTTGAGCTGAAATTTGATGTTCTAATTCTGTTTGCTTGATGCTTATTTCAATTGAATGAGTGAAAAGAATTTTATTTTTTTGTAGGCAGAAAAAATGGAATCTCCAGAGCTTATCAGATCTGAAAATGAAGTAAACCCAAGGCAATTGGATCCATGTGCCATTGGACCAGCTGACAATTCAACTGTCATTCTATGGAATTATATACAAAGAAAATAGGCCTCAAGTTTTTCAAAGATTTTGAAGCTGAAGAGCAAGAGATGTTAAGTAAGCACTCAGATCTGAAATTCAATGAGGAATTAAGAATCTGCTTGCAACACAAAGCCTTTTTTTAACAATATATTAACAGCAGGAAAGATACTGTTGTAACCCATTTTCAAAGAAAAATCACAGAATTAAGAAGAGCCTTAAACTGATCAACTGCTCAGCTGCAGATAAGCTGAAAAAAAAAAATAAAAAAAATGGCAAAAATGGTCGATATCATGCCAAAAAGACACTTTTCTGAAAACTTTAAGCTTAATTTGCAAAATAATATCAGTCCCTATCAACTCAGATCACAATTTCTGAAAATGCCACCGATAATTGTATAAGGACACCTAAACATGAGGTTCTAGCTCTTGTTGCTCTATAACAGCAGCAACTGAAAAATGCCTGGTTTTCATTATAACGTTGCACAAGTCAAAAATCACTATTTTTAAGGCCTGTTTTCTCCCTTTAAGGCAAAACCCATCTCCATAAAATAGATATCTTGTAGTTTAGAATCTGCTCTTTCTAATGAAGGTTTTTTAAGAAAATTGGTGGTGCTGCTTTTTTGCTACTGGTCTCCAAAAAAATGGCCTAAAATTCAATGTATGGTCTGGGAGGACATTTTTAGAACAGGAACTAAAAATATTTGGAGTCTGATAATTTAGGATTGTGATGATGTTCACTTGGATAACTGGCTAGAATAATGTCATACTAAAATAATATTCAAATGAATTCAAGATTCAATTTTATAAAACAGATTTTTTTTTGCCAATTTCAGCTTCAGCATGTAAGTTTTAGACCTAGAATCTTGTGGTGTGAGAGTGCCTGTGAGGGCTGCGGCGGTGCCTTCCCTGGCACTGCCCTCGACGCCTCCTCCCTGACTCCCAGTTATCGCTGCTGCTGCAACGGTACACCACAATTGCTAGCCTTAGTCTACTCGATTTTTTAAATCAGCTTCAAAAATTGTATAGGCATGTCAACTTACACAGGTTTTACTCTTCTAGATCTGCCACAGCAATAATCTGAACACTGCCAATTGTGCTATGGGTTGGTGAAATTTTCACAGGCCTCCACTGAGGGCCATAACATTACTACTACTGCATATCATGAAATAAAACTTTCCCAAAGTTAGTATGACACACATGCCAACCTTCGTGAAAAATTTTATTGAAATTGGAGATGGTCAAGTGTGGACCCCTGACCCACTTGACATGGAATGACTCAGTAATCACCTACTGAGTGACCAAAATGCATTCCATGCTATAGTTAGAGATACAGTACTGTAAAAATATCTAGTACACTTTTTTCCTATTATCTAGATCCAAATTTTGATTAAGTATTAGAGAGGTACTAATAACCTGTAAACAAAGAAGAAAAAATAAAGAATACAGATCTTTTTTTCTTTTATCTCCATGTTTTCTGATAATATACAATGACAGTGACATTTGGCAGATTTAAGTTTTATGCATATGTGGTAGACTCATTTATTTGGTTGAGATTAGCAAAGCAGAGTAAACAAAAATACAATACAGTGGTTGAGGAGAGTTTAGTCAGCCTGCTGTGCAAGTACATTAGAATTCCACTTTGGCAGAATTCGCTTAGACAAAAATTTCCCATGGCAAATGGACTATCAAGAAACAGATAAACACTGAATGAAAGTTAAGAAGCAAGACCAAAAGTTGGTGCACACCCACCTGCAAACTCAAATAGGTAATTACTAACAGGCACAGCTCTATTTCTGTAGCTGCAAGTAATCATGCAGAGATGTAGGTAAAAATAGCCACATTACCTGGTACCAGTTAATCCCAGCATCAGTAGAAATATAGAGTGCAGTATGACCTTTCATTGAATTTCCAATTGTACCTGTAGCCAAAATGAGACCTGGAGCACTTGCTTTACTTAATATAGGCATGGTCTGAGTTGATGGATAAAGGTGACTTAGCTCTTGACTCACATGTAAAGAGCAACCATTAGCCTGCAAGAAATTTGTTTTGCAAATTACTGGCGTACAGTATTTAATTACATGTATAATTAACCCATAAACGGTCCAAGCAGATCTACATTCACATGTGTAGTGCTACAAAAGTATATCTAATTTTTTTTTACATATTTTCAAACATAACAAAAAAAAAAAGTAGATCAAAGTTTTTTACACATTTTCAAATGTAGAAAAACAAAAAGATCTACTTTTTTTACATACATTCAAATGTTGAAAAAACGTATATATACGTTTGGACCGTTTACGGGTTAAAGATTGTATACAGTTAAATTAAAGAATAGAAACCATTCACTGCCTTAGATTTATAGAACCTCTTGGTCATCCTATTCTGTTTCATCCTCTCTAAATGCCCAACCCTTCCTCAGCCCTCTGAATTTTACCTCTGAAAACCCAGCTCCGTCTTCTAGTTTCTATACTCCAAATTCTATGAATAATATTCACACCCTCACATTACTTTCAAACATGACATCTCCTCTGCCCCCAGTCTCCTCCTTGCTGCAACATTTAAATATAGTATAGCAATGCATCTCAATAAAAAAGTTTACTAACCCTCTTACAGTCGATAGGATTATCATCCACATCTTTTCTTGGTGGTTGAAGAGGTTTCCACTGTGCACCTTGATCAAATGTGATATAAGAAGTTAATTGTTCTGGTCCAAGCTTACTAAAGCTTGTTGTAAAGTTAGGCATCAGCTGAGAAGCAATGAACACCCCTCGCACACCCTCAACTGGATGCAGATCAGCAAAGGTCTTGTCTGCTACTTCACTGTGAAAGATAGTAACCTAATCAAATTCAACATAAAAAATAAAATGTTAGATTGAGATGTTAATAAAAATTAACACACTGAAGAAAAGAGTCCACAGTTTCAGTGCCTAGACACGACTTCTATTTTTACCATACTGGGCGTTTCCCACCAAAGCAGGGCAACCCAAAATGGAAACACATTCACCATCAAGCAAAGAAACATTACAATTCAAATGACCCTCAGAACTACAGCATCCATATTCAACCTTCAGAGTACAGGCACTGTCCTACCCAACTTCCAGGGCTCAGTCTGGCTAACCAGTTTTCCCTGAAGCCATACATAAAGTTACCTTGCTCACACTCCAATATGTCAAGTCCTAAAAACCACATGTCTCAGCTTACTCCATCTAACACGTTTATACAAACTTGCTGGATGCTTACACCTCTTCTACCCAGTGTCTTTCACACCCTCCCTCCATTCCATCCTGGAATGGCCCTTCTTCCTTCTACCCCAGACCTGTACATCTTTGTAATTCTATACCACTCCATTATTTCTAAACTCCATAACCACCTGAACATCCCCTCTCCTGCCCTCTGAATTCCTTCTTCCATAACTTTACACCATCTTCTAATTTCTTTGCTTCAAGTTCTCTGCATATTATTCAGACCACCATTACTCTCATACGTAACATCACCACTACCTCTAGCCTCTCTTAGATGTAATGTTTAGCATGTGTCCACTCATGTAAGTGTTGTTACCACTGAACTCTGGTATATTCGTATTTCTGCCTCTATACATAAACACTTCACTACTACTTTCATTCCCTTGTGCAGGAAGGCCCCACTTATGCAGCAGGTTAGGTTCCAGGCTACTGATATAAAGAGAAAATTGCTATAAAATGAAAAAGACTTTTTTTTCTACTTTCAAATGCATATAGAAGCCTGATAACCTGCTTATACTAACTTATATTAAGTGAGTAATAAATCTAGGCCTAAAAAATGCATATACAGTACAGAGTTACTTATTTTAAAACATTTTCATCCTTAGCTTATAGCAAGTGGTGAATATATTTCTTGTAGGAAGTCTGAATAAAGACCAAGTATAACTGAAAATTGTGGATACCTGAAACTATGGATAGTAGCAAACCCTATGTAAGACATTTTTTGTTTACATACATACCTATGATAAAGTTTACTTGATAAATTATGCAAAATAAGTCTAAAATTAGCACTTTCACTGATGGGAAGCATTTCACAGCTCTGAAGAACTGCCAGCATCACTAGTTTTGCACTCTGAGGCCATTACGTATTAACAAAATTAAGGGTTATTTTTGGGCCACAGTAAACCGTGGATAACAAACTGCGGATACCGAATACGTGGATATGGGGGTTCTATTTTTCTTTCTTTCTTTCAATACATCGGCCGTATCCCACCGAGGCGGGGTGGCCCAAAAGGAAAAACAAAAGTTTCTCCTTTTACATTTAGTAATATATACAGGAGAAGGGGTTACTAGCCCCTTGCTCCCGGCATTTTAGTTGCCTCTTACAACACGCATGGCGTACGGAGGAAGAATTCTGGTCCACTTCCCCATGGAGATAAGAGGAAATAAACAAGAACAAGAACTAGAAAGAAAATAAAAGAAAACCCAGAGGGGTATGTATATATACGCTTGTACATGTATGTGTAGTGTGACCTAAATGTAAGTAGAAGTAGCAAGATGTACCTGAAATCTTGCATGTTCATGAGACAGAAAAAAGGACACCAGCAATCCTACCATCATGTAAAACAATCACAGGCTTTCGTTTTTATTGTATTAGCAAAATGCTGTAAAGAAAAGTGCTACAAAGCAGGGCCCTCCTGTATATTCTATGGTTCAACTCTCGTAGACCCATCTGCCAACATGTCCACTCCTAAGTATGTAGTAAATACAACTACTCCCTTATTTACAAACAGGTTCAGTTCCGAGTGGTCATTTGTAAGTCCATTTTTTTTTTTTTTTTTTCAACAAGTCGGTCGTCTCCCACCGAGGCAGGGTGACCCAAAAAAGAAAGAAAATCCCCAAAAAGAAAATACTTTCATCATCATTCAACACTTTCACCACACTCACACATTATCACTGCTTTTGCAGAGGTGCCCAGAATACAACAGTTTAGAAGCATATACATATACAGATACACAACATATCCCTCCAAACTGCCAATATCCCAAACCACTCCTTTAAAGTGCAGGCATTGTACTTCCCATTTCCAGGACTCAAGTCCGACTATATGAAAATAACCGGTTTCCCTGAATCCCTTCACTAAATATTACCCTGCTCACACTCCAACAGATCGTCAGGTCCCAAGTATCATTCGTCTCCATTCACTCCTATCTAACACGCTCATGCACGCTTGCTGGAAGTCCAAGCCCCTCGCCCACAAAACCTCCTTTACCCCCTCCTTCCAACCCTTTCGAGGACGACCTCTACCCCTCTTTCCTTCCCCTATAGATTTATATGCTTTCCATGTCATTCTACTTTGATCCATTCTCTCTAAATGACAAAACCACCTCAACAACCCCTCTTCTGCCCTCTGACTAATGCTTTTATTAACTCCACACCTTCTCCTAATTTCCACACTCCGAATTTTCTGCATAATATTTACACCACACATTGCCCTTAGACAGGACATCTCCACTGCCTCCAACCGTCTCCTCGCTGCTGCATTTACCACCCAAGCTTTACATCCATATAAGAGTGTTGGTACTACTATACTTTCATACATTCCCTTCTTTGCCTCCACAGATAACGTTTTTTGACTCCACATATACCTCAACGCACCACTCACCTTTTTTCCCTCATCAATTCTATGATTAACCTCATCCTTCATAAATCCATCTGCCGACACGTCAACTCCCAAGTATCTGAAAACATTCACTTCTTCCATACTACTCCTCCCCAATTTGATATCCAATTTTTCTTTATCTAAATCATTTGATACCCTCATCACCTTACTCTTTTCTATGTTCACTTTCAACTTTCTACCTTTACACATATTCTCAAACTCATCCACTAACCTTTGCAATTTTTCTTTTAGAATCTCCCATAAGCACAGTATCATCAGCAAAAAGTAACTGTGTCAATTCCCATTTTGAAATTGATTCCCCATAATTTAATCCTACCCCTCTCCCGAACACCCTAGCATTTACTTCTTTTACAACCCCATCTATAAATAATATTAAACAACCATGGTGACATTACACATCCCTGTCTAAGACCTACTTTTACCGGGAAGTATTCTCCCTCTCTTCTACACACCCTAACCTGAGCCTCACTATCCTCATAAAAGCTCTTTACAGCATTTAGTAACTTACCACCTATTCCATAAACTTGCAACATCTGCCACATTGCTCCTCTATCCACTCTACCATATGCCTTTTCTAAATCCATAAATGCAATAAAAACTTCCCTACCTTTATCTAAATACTGTTCACATATATGCTTCAATGTAAACACTTGATCTACAAAATCCCCTACCCACTCTGAAGCCTCCTTGCTCATCCGCAATTCTACATTCTGTCTTACCTCTAATTCTTTCAATTATAACCCTACCGTATACTTTTCCTGGTATACTCAGTAAACTTATTCCTCTATAATTTTTACAATCTCTTTTGTCCCCTTTCCCTTTATATAAAGGGACTATACATGCTCTCCGCCAATCCCTAGGTCCCTTTCCCCCTCTTTCATACATTTATTAAACAAAAGTACCAACCACTCCAACACTATATCCCCCCCTGCTTTTAACATTTCTGTGATGATCCCATCAATTCCAGCTGCTTTACCCCCTTTCATTCTACGTAATGCCTCATGTACCTCCACCACACTTACATTCTGCTCTTCTTCACTCCTAAAAAGATGTTATACCTCCTGGCCAGTGCATGAAATTACTGCCTCCCTTTCTTCCCTCAACATTTAAAAGTTCCTCAAAATATTCTCGCCATCTACCTAATACCTCCCTCTCCCCATCTACTAACTCCCCTACTCTGTTTTTAATGGACAAATCCATACTTTCCCTAGGCTTTCTTAACTTGTTTAACTCACTCCAAAATTTTTTCTTATTTTCATTAAAATTTCTTGACAGTGCCTCTCCCACTCTTTCATCTGCTCTCCTTTTGCACTCTCTCACCACTCTCTTCACCTTTCTTCTACTCTCCATATACTCTGCTCTTCTTATAACACTTCTGCTTTGTAAAAACCTCTCGTAAGCTACCTTTTTCTCTTTTATCACACCCTTTACTTCATCATTCCACCAATCACTCTTCTTTCCTCCTGTCCCCACCTTCCTATAACCACAAACTTCTGCCCCACATTCTAATACTGCATTTTTAAAACTATTCCAACATAGTCCAACATATGTATGTATATAGTGTTGTACAGTAGTGTAGTATACAGTGGACCCTCAGTTATTGGCCATAATCCGTTCCAGAAGGTCGGCTTAAAACCGAAATTGCCGAAAACCGAAATAATACTTCCAATAAGAATTAATGTAAATACAATTAATTAAGGTAGTAGGTTGGTAGACAGCAACCACCCAGGGAGGTACTACCGTTCTGCCAAGTGAGTGTAAAACGAAAGCCTGTAATTGTTTTACTTGATGGTAGGATTGCTGGTGTCTTGTCTGTCTCATAAATATGCAAGATTACAGGTACGTCTTGCTACTTCTACTTACACTTAGGTCACACTAAGCATACATGTACACGTTTATTTATACACACTCATCTGAGTTTTCTTTGATTTTATCTTAGTTCTTGTTCTAATTACTTTACCTTTTACATCCATGGGGAAGTGGAATAAGAATCTTTCCTCCGTATGCCTTGCGTGCTGTAAAAGTCAACTAAAATGCCGTGAATAATGGGCTAGTAACCCCTTTTCCTGTAAAAATTACTAAAAAGAATAAGAAGAAGAAAATTATCAAAGTGGGAAGTTTGAATGTGCGTGGATGTTGTGTGAATGATAAGGAAGAGATGATTGTGGATGTTATGA